ACTTAATAAAAATTCACCCCAACAAATAAGAACTGCTACAAACAGATATAAACCAGATATGCTCAGGATAAACAAATGCGGAATATATACAAAACAATCCTAAACAATCTACCACAACAAGCAAACAACTAACAAGCATAAATCATGATAAGGAATGTAAAGCATGAAGAGATGAACAAAGTATGTAATCTAGATTCTATATCACAACTAACTCACTCTAGTCCTTGGGGTCATGTCTTCATGAGTATGGGTCTGTGAAATCCCAACTCTAAGACTATGTAACACCCAATACTTTTACAAGTAGTCAAGAACTTCTTGAGGTAGGTAGAGAAAGAGGCACTCCCACCTTCCGGTTCAAGGACTACTAACTAGAGAAGTGAGTAGGTGATATTAATCTATAACTACACACACAAAGTATATAGAGATTATAATAAAAACAAGAAAGCAAACCAAAAAACACCAAGATGTATAGTGGTTCGGCCAATGATGTCTACGTCCACTCTTCGAGTAGCTTCTTGCTATTAAGATAAATCCAAAGCTTTGAAACACCTCCAACAACTCTACACTACTCCCATTAGTGTTGATTTAATCTAACTTGAAAGTTGTAGAGATTTTTCCCTAAAATCTCTAACCTAGAATCCACTAGGGTTTGAAGAAGTTAGTTACAAACTTCTCACCTTGAATTCCTTCTCAAGGGTTTTTCACTCTCTTGCCTCCACCAAGAAGAAATCATATCAAAGGTCACACCTTTGGTAATGAGGTTTTCTCTCTTGAAAATCTCACTCAATGAGAATGATAGAGAAGAAAGATTGAAGCTCACTATGAGTTTATACAATACTCATTTACAACATTCACTCACACTCAAAAAGATTGGAAGGATTGATTTGAGTGAATGGAAGGAAATTGGTTGATTTCTCTCTTGAAAACCTTTCTCACAAAGCTAAGGTTTTCTCTCTTGAATGCTCTTGAAGAAATGCACAAAATCCTTGAGAAATCCATCTCTAAGTGTTGCTTTTATAGTCAAAGCCCAAATAGATCCGTTGGTCAAAGTCAGTTGACCAACTAGGGTTTTGACCAAGAAAACCGGAGGAATCAGGACCGAACCGGAGCAGAAAACCACAAAATCCCGTCAGTCAGTCGACTGACTGTATAAGGCAGTGGCGAAGCCAGGAATTTGACTTACCTGGGGCACATAGATTATATTTTTGTGTATATGTGGCAAATAGAAAAGAGCCTAGGCTAAATCAGAGAAATTAAATGATCTAAGAG